TCTTTTATTTATTTATTTTTTTTTTTTAAGGAGCATCCCTCTTTTTTATCTCGCTGCCAGAAGTAGCAGCCACTTGATCTGGAGCCGCGCTGGGGTACGGCCGGGATAGACAGCAGCATTCCTTACAGCCTTTGCTTTCCATTTGGAAGCAATGGGAGTTTTCCTAGAGCGGGGGGGGGGGGGGGGGAGGGAGGGAGGGAGGGAGGGAGGGAGGGAGGGGCGGGGGGGGGGGCGCAACGACGCCGCCCCTTCGTGTACTTTCTGAACCCCCTGAACAACTGTTCCGACCACCGTGATTGAAACTGTGTGGCAATGTGATCGCAAAACAACTGTAGTGCGGCTTACAATAAATAAACTCTTGTATACGAAAAAAAATTTTTTTTTTTTTTTTGAGAATGCGAAGAAGTGTTTTGCATAAGTCCCAGCAGCCAGGCGACCTCAAGGCCTATAACTAGTCTGGAAATTCCTTCAATGTAGCCACAGAGCCAACACGCCAATCCACTGAAATTAGGGAGAGAACGAGTTAAAGCACTGCAGGAGGGAGGAAAGGAAAGCGGTGTAGGAAAACCTCACGGAGCTGCGATGGCAGAGAGAAACTACCCCTCTTGCGAAAGCCGTAAGAAAGCGCACCTTTTCATTGTATCCCGACCGTGGCTGGGGTTGGCAAAACACAGGGCACGCGCTTACGCGCTTGAGTTCCAGACTGTGTTAGGGTCAGGCAAGTTCCATCATTGAAGCGATTGGGCACGAGCGATTTTCCGAATGCTTGTCGAGCTGTTGATTATCGTGAGGCCAGATCGAGTGCTCACACGGTGCTTGGGTCCAATCTATGAGCCGCATTCAAAAATCGTCACTGGGGGACACTGACACTTCCAAACTTAGGCATCAAAGTTTTGCAATGGAAAGATTGTAAGAAAACGCTCGCTTTTATTTTTGAAATTACACCGCATCAAAGCTTCTCGGTCAGTGGCGTTGCGTGCGAGTATACTTGGGTTTTACTATACTCCGTTCACCCTTTAGCTGAGATTAGAAGCTCCGTATTAAGTGCGAGCTTTCTGTCCTTGCTAACATAAATGTGAACGCGCAAACACGCTCAATCAGAACACTGCGGAATTCAGGGAGCTCGCGCTGAAGGCGGAGCTTCTAGTCTCAGCTTGAGGGTGAATGGAGCATAAGGCCAGTAAGCTCGTGTAAAGAGAAAACATTACTACTGAATGTCGTTGCACTGCCCCTTTATTTTATTTTTTATCGTCCAAATTGTTGATACATTGGAACAAGTGATAGGTGGTATTCGCTGGCGGCCATAGTTGTGTCCGCTGTTGCAGAGCGCGAGCTCACGATCAGCTTCCACTGCGCTTCCTAAAAATGTACTTCACATCAGTATGATTGTGAGTCTTCTCGGAGGATAAGTTTGGTATCGTTTTGAGCATGCGCTGTGAACGCTACGCTCAAATATGGCGCCCAGTGAATACCAGAATGGCGTTACGCGCAGATCATGTATGAATGGTGTAACCTACGTAACTAACGGCATCGGAACTAAAGCACATGTCCGCTTCGCGGATTCCGAGACTTTATCCGAGGCGACTACGCCCTCCGCTGCTCTCCTCCAAATGTTGTGCAGGAGCTGACATTGACTTTCACTTCTCTTCCTTGGTCGCCCACCAACAGAATCCTAAGTGGAGAGAGTCAAAACAAAGTTGAAAAATAAAGTTCTCTCCAACCTGTATTACACGAGGTATAACAAATTTAAGCCAATTAATAATACAAAAATATCTTTGTCTGTTGTCCTTTTTTGTTCATTTTGTAGGTTTTCTGGTTTTTTAGTTGATGTTCTTAGCTGCAATATATGAATATGATAGAATGGACAACGAATAACTACTTATGGTAGCGTGGCCGAGCGGTCGCCTGCCGCCAACCAACTTCAGCGAAAACAGACCGAAAGCGATCTCAAACATCCGGGCATCGATGTCGGAGTCTAGCGCGAACACACGAATCCTTCGCCGAATATACACCAAGCCGAGCGATTCTATTACCGCTCCCGCCACGTCTGTGCTAGCGATGATAGGATGTTCCGCTTGACCATGAAGGTATAGAGGAGGATTAAGGGCGTCATCTCGGCGGCGCAGCAATGCAGAGAAACATCCGCCCGCGTCTGATGCGGTCTGAAAGGGACTCCGTTTCCAGGGGTGAATTCGATCCCGTTTCGCAAAACGAGAACCGTGTTTCGGACCAGATAACGCCCGCCAACTCTGCGAACGCCCCGGCGCAAATGCAAACAGACCGAGGAACAGCTTAGGTACGTCGTTGGAGCTCTCTCTCTCTCTCCCCACACACACACAGATAGACACACATACGCATATAGACACACACATACGCACAAAGACACGCAAGCATACAGAGACACACACACACAAGCATACAGACTCATAGGTATACAGACACATGCACTCAGCTCAAAGAAGTCTCGCTCATGTTCGTCTGCTGGTGGCGTGCACTCATTCCCATGCCTAGTTCCACTCGTGAGCCGCGAAAAGACGTAAGCCTCCTAACGACCGCTCCGGACGAGCAGCACAGCCTGACGTGCGGTTGAGACTCATCGCTCGCAATCCTCGCGCTGGGCTCACTCGCGTCAGCATTGACAGCAAAAAGGAGCCAACCAACACACGCACGAACGCCGTCGCTGCTGCGTCCGGTGAAGCTGATAATTCAGCCTGCGTTTCCTCGACGGTCTTTGTTTTATTTCTTTTTTTATTATTTTAGAAGCGCAGGAGACGATGATTTCGTCCCGAGATAGAAAACCCAATTTCGACGGGGCTTCGGTCGCGCTGCAGCGGCGCTGGCTGGGGGGCCCCGCTTTGCCTGCCTGTGGGAGGGAGCGCATGAAGCGGCCTGATTGTGTCCGCCGAAAGTGAAGGCTCCGTGTGTTATTTTGCTTGCGGCGCTTTGTTATGGGGGCGGCGAGGAAATGCAGATTGCGTCGTGCAAACGGTTGTGCTTGTGTACCCGTTCTTCGGACCAGCAATACAGCGTGTCTCGGAAAAATAAAATAAAATGTTGTGTGTGTGTGTGTGTGTGTGTGTGTGTCTGTGTGTCTGTGTGGGCGCGTGAGTGTGTGTGTGTGTGTGTGTGGGGGGGGGGGGGGGGGTCTGTTTTCCAGAAATAAACTTCGCATCGCCAAACGCTGTATCTCCGCCCTAATGCAACGGTAGCGGGTCCGGATTAGATGCCAAAGTTTCAGAACGAACCTTTATCTCATTCAAAAGTTACGAAGGATTTTCTGAAACTTTTTTTTATAGAAAAATGGTTGCCGTTCTCGGTAGCTTCACCCATTTATCTCCTTGTATGTTTGGGCGGAAAGTTTGTCGGTCGCCACTTTCTTATTGAAAATTTCCCGTAAATCGATTAAACCTCTTTAACAGAACAACGGCAAGCTCTCAACTCTGGCATTTGGTTCGGAACGCTAGCGCTACATTTGGGCGGAGAATGAGCGTTCGGGAATGTGTCAATTAATTTTGTGGTGAAAATAAAAAACACTCCCTTTTTGGAGGACTTCGCCATTGAAATCGAATGGAAATTTAGTGAGAAAGAACGCCATAGTTACGTGCAAAAACTGCCGTAGCGGCTCGTGACTGCGTTGTTTTCCGTAGACACAAGAAGTGAAAAATTCTAAAGAGACTATAAATTCTGGTTAAGTTTCTCCATTAATCTAAAACTAAAATAAATAAAAAAAAAATACAAAGGTCGTTTCCGTGTTGTGAGCCGGAAGCCAATTGTGCATTCATCAGAGAGATGTGATTTTCTTCATTTTGCTGGCCCTGCTGGAACTACTGGGATATTTCCTCCGAAAATGAAAATTGAAGGGATGCCCCTTAAATCTCAAACTCGAAGCATATTGCTTTCTAGGCAGACCAGTCCTTAAGTACTCTATCGTGTGAGATCCGTACTTCATCAAAGACATCACGGAGATGGAGCGGATCCAGCGTCTTGTTGCTAGGTTTATCTCATCAGACTATCGGTCATCGTCATCCGTTACTAATATGCTCAGACAGCTGAACCTGAGTTCGCTCCACCTGCGCCGTCAGGTCGCCAGGTTCAAGTTTCTCTATTTCCCATCACATTACCATCCTGGCCTGGGAAGTGAACACTATTTATTTCCAGCGCCGCACAGATCAACAAGACTAAACCACTCTAAAGGAATACGCCCATATTTTGCCAGAACTACACTTTTTCAAATTCTTTTTCCAAACACATTTGAGCAGTGGAGCTGCTTGCCGTCATTGCTTATTGTAAGCACAAATATTGAATCATTTGAGCGTTTGCCTGTGTCGCAATTGTTGTAACCCTCTCCTGCTGTAGTTGCGAATAAAAAATATAGCTGAAATATTGCTGGCCTGTTTCTGAGGCTGGAGTTTTGTGTTTTAAAGTGGTATTGTATCAGTTCCTTGCTCCGCTGAGCGTTTTAATGAGGAACAGCGACTGTTCCTCGCTTAAAATGCATTACCTAAAATAAACAACAAAAGAAATCCGCGATTTTACTTTTTTTTTTTTGGGGGGGGGGGGGGGGGACGGTAGTGAATGTGGCTTGGGATAGATTTTGTTTCTTTAAACCGTACGACATTGCAATGGTAAATGTGGCCCCCAAATAGGACGATACAGTTTGAGAGCGGCGCAGGTAACTCTGCGCGTTATTGTACTCTCACTATTTGCGCCGAACCGCACACTTCGCGCTCCTGGGCTCCACCACACACTCCATTCTCGGTTAAAAAAGAAAAAAAAAACAACGAGAAAGTTTGGATAAAAAATAAATCCGCACAGAAATCCGTAAGAGTGTTGTTCGGCGAAGACGATAATGTTTCGCCGTGTCACTTGTGTCGTGTCGTCGCGCAAGGGCGTCTTTGTCCGTCGTCCTTTTGTGGCCGCGTCTTGTTGAGTCTTTGTCCTCGCCACACTGCGAACTCGGGCAGATGGCTAATGGTTCGTTCTTTCTCGTTGCTTTGCAGGAAATCGCCGCCATTCTTATCAGCTTCGACAGGCATGAGGAGTGGTTGTCCCGGGAGGTAAAGATTCGGTAAGTATTCCGGTATTACTACGCAACCAATACATGATTGCGTTTATCCACTTTCTCTTTTCTTTTTTTTTTTTCTTCGGGAGAGGGAGGGATGGAATTACTCGTTTATAGGAGGAGGGGAGAGGGGGGAGGGTAAACTGTCTGCGAAGAAAGCACGAACATTTTAATTTAGTCGAGGCTGTAGACGTTTGCAAGTACGGCCTCTGCACGCCGCCATCTTGCTTCTGGTGTGGCTAGATCGACTGATAGTCAGGCATCGCTAGCATTGCTGAGACCGTGGGTTCGCATCAGCAATGCTTGACTATCGGACGATCTACCCGCACCAGCAACAAGATGGCGCGCCCAGAGGCTGCACTCGCAAACGTCTATACTTCGTTTTAAAGGGGCGATGGGACGATTTTCGAACTTCGGCCAAATAATTGTGGGAGTTGGTCCCGGTCACTTCTAGATCCAAGAACAGAAAACCATTTCTGCTTCCACGCGCTAGTTTTTATTTTAAACAAATTGCAAATGTCGAAGTTTGGGGGATCTGACGCACGTAAAACGCTCTGGGGGATCTGACGCTCTGGGGGATCATGTCACTTCCGGATGGGCCTTGTGACCTCTGTTGCTTTGGTCCTCCGGCGCTCTTCCTGGTATTTTGAACATCGTGTCAAGAGTCTCCTCGACCAGCACGGCGTCATGGCATGTTGGTCTCCGACACCATGTACCCTTGAGGGGTCCCTTGTGCGGTAGACGGTGATAGAATATGTTTTGGCTTCCGAACAAGGGATTCCGAAAACATCGCACCGGGTAAGTATCACCCGTGATCGCGGCGGACGATACGATCGTACGTTGAGAAACGCGAGGAAACGAAAGTCCAGACTCTTATCTGCTCCTTGAACAAACTAAACTGCTAGACATTACTCGAGACGTTGCTGAAGTTCTTTAATATGTGTACAAATATTTACATTAGAGGTGCTTTTGGCACAGAACGGTACACCGGTAGACCGTTGCTTAGACCAAGTAATTCGATCATCGCTCGCGCGTTGGCTCACCAGACTCTTCTTCTTTTTCGTCATCCTTAGTGCGCTCCCACGCACGCGGAAACAATTTGCTGTCCCGGGAACGACGGGGAGAGTGGCTTCGCAGGGGGCATGGTTTTCTTGACTTCCGGTAGACAGCGCCACGACAATTTAATACATTTCATGAATAATACTAGACTTTTCACGCATTGCTCTATTATCAAACGACGAGGTATTTCTTTTAATAATCTTAAGCACAAAATTGCGCATATCGCTAACTTACGAACGACATCCCCCAAAGTATGTAGACAGCAGTTCCTGTAACCGCCACACGCAGCCAAAAATCGGCAAATAGTTCGTTTTTTTTTTTCTTTTTCTTTTTTTTGCCATTACGCAGCGGAGTCGCTGTATTTCGGGGGAAAGATGCATGTTTTCGTTTACTTGTAGAACGAAAAGCAATATAAGGAATACGAACGGTAAATTTTTTCAACCTTAAAATCGTTGCATTGCCCCTTTAGGTTAAGACGCAACCGAGGCCACAATTCGATGGCACCAATCAGACGGCATCAAAAGCGCACCATCACGGTTTTCGTCCTGTTTCTCTGCGGGTTCTATAATCGCTGAACCAATCATAAACTAAAAGACCTATGACTTGCGCTTTTGAGGTCGCTTGGCGAGTCTCATTACCTGATAACGTCGGCTGCGTCTGGACTAAAGCTGAAACGAAGTGTATAGCTGTACTCGGAGGAAGACGAAGCGCTTCGAACAGGTCTGTGTTTTTCTCGGCTCATCTGTTTGTGCTTATTTCTATTTATAATATCGCCAGTTTAGACAACAACTTCACCGAACAATTAATAAGGCTTCCTCCGCCTGTCGGAGGGGTGGCTTTCGATCGGCTCGGGGTATAAACCCTGATTTCACTTAGCCATGGCTACCGCAACCACTTCGCTAACGGCAAGTCAGAAGACTCCAACTGAGCGCTACAGCATGCCTCCTTCAACATGCGGATCCTCTATCGCCGAATTAGAGAACGAAACCTCCCTCACTAACCTGGCAGAAGTTCGAGCTCCTGACCCCACATATCTCCACCCAACGCTGAAATGTTAACTAGCGACATGGAAATCGCCGACACCGACCAAGGTGAATGGTACGATGCCAAGACATCCAAGAAGCGCAAAAAGAACTCCAGTTCAAGCAAAAGCGGAGACACAGTTACGAACTATCTTACCACAACAGTTGGCCTGACTAATTTTTGTGCCAGCGGTTGAAAACCAGAGAATCACAGCGATCAGCAGTCTAAAACTGTCTGTTGCATTGGAACAGATGTGTCCCGAATGCATCCACGAGATTAGGCCCAACAGCAGATTAAATATGATCGCAGTAGATACTCGAAATGGCCAGACGACCCGTGCGCTCCTTGCCTGCACTCAGATCTGCGGCTTGAAAGTTCGGGCGTACGAGCCCGTTCCGAGGCATTTCGCAGTAGGAGTGATTAAAGACGTCGACACTTCACTTACTGATGCCGAAATTGAACAGCATGTGAGATCACCAGAAGGCCGAGTAGCGAGAATTCGACGGCTTGGACAAAGTTCCATAGTAAAGATAGCGTTCAGCGAAACAACGTTGCCGAGTTTTGTTTATCTCGGTCACGTTCGCCATCCGGTGACCCCGTTCAAGGAACGCCCAATTCAGTGGCGCAAATGTTGTGGATATGGACATCGCGAAGCCAAATGCAAGCGCCCACCCATCTGCAGTCGCTGTGGAGAAGCCCACGACAGCAACGACACGTGTTCTGGACAAGAAAAATGCGCGAACTGCAGTCAAGCTCACGCTGCCACGTCCTCTTCCTGCCCAGAATGGCAGAGAGAAAGTGAGACCCGCAGCTACGCACGCAAACACGCAGTTGACTTTCGCGCCGCAAGATCCGCCGTCTCACAGAAGACGGAAACAAAACAAACGGCTGAAATTGATAAACGACCTCCACACTCACAGAACACAATAAATGAGACATCTAACAAGCAGAACCCAAGCTCCCATGACTATGCTGCAGCTGTAAAGAAGAATCAACAGAAGGTCACGAAGGGGGCCCCTCCCTCAATTGACCGCAAAAGTCAAGTTTCAGAACTCAAGGGAGAAAAGGAAAGGCCGTCGACGTCAGCGGCTGTCACTCCTGATCCAATGCGGAAGACCACTTCCACCTCTGGTGCTCCACCAATCAAAGGGAATGCATGGGAAAGCTGGATTCCGCTTCTCAAAAAAGCAGCTCGCATGGCCTGTATTCTATTATCTTCTGTCGACGCCCAATGGGCACGAAACATCACATCATTGCTTAATATGATTCTTCCGCTTATGGGAGAATTATAAACGATGGAAGCACCAAGAAGCCGCATAAACGCGTCCGCAATTGGATATTATTCAACATATCAAGACTATTCACTATCCCCGTGAAGAAAGGCGAGCCTACGATCACCACCAGAGCCCTTTTCAAGGAACCACGAAAAACCAACCTAACGACTGACGTCCTTTTGCCTCTAATCTTTCAAGCTGCAAAAAACTTTTTTTTTATCAGCAAGCAAGACACAGCTTTCAAAGGTATCATGCTCACACTTTTAACTATGATTCAGCCTACTCTCTGCCTAGGCCCCAGCTGCTAATCTGGACATGCTATCAATAGATAAGATTCGATACCAAGCAACCATTTTCCAGTGGAATGCAAGGGGCCTTCGCAGCCGTCTTTCCGACTTTCGCCGATTTGTGTATTAGTACCAATTTCCGGTTGTAGCATTATCAGAATCAAACATTGCCGACAGTTTTCGTTTATCTGGTTATGAGGTTTTTCACTCGCTACGAGGTAGATCTCCAAGCAGAGTTCTAGTGGCGATTCCTAAAGACCTTACTTATATCTCCCACAGCCTTACTCCTGATGCCACCAACGAGTATGTCGCTTTAACTGTGAAACAAGGTCGCAACATGTTCACCCTAATCGCAGGATACATTCCGCCAAATACGCAGTTTGACTCCCTGCGTATTAGCTCTATTATTAAAAACACCCCCTCTCCACACATCTTAACGGGGGATTTTAATGCCCATCACCCCTTATGGGGAAGTACAAAAACAACCGCCCGAGGTACCTCACTTGTGACACTCACGCATCAGCATGGTCTTTTTACTTTGAATGACGGAAGTCCAACCTTTTTCCGGGGCGCCACTACAAGCAGCTGTTTAGATTTGACATTTGCATGCTCGAGCCTTTCAAATTCTCTCACATGGTTTACAGATATTGAATGCCATAGCAGTGACCATATGCCTACGTACACTCTTCTTAAGGGGTTTTCATCCAATACCATAGCGTCAACAATCAGACGGACAGATTGGTGCCTTTTCAAAGTTAATCTTGAAAAAGCATGTGATTCATTTAGCACCGAAGGTGATTTCTACCATGGTATCGGAGAACTTGTGAAACAACACACAAAGACATACAAACTACCCCGAAGGTTTGTTATGATTGACGCGGAATACGAACGTCTTCGTGCGCTTCGCAGGAGATACGAAAGAAAGGCAAGAAAAACACATGATCCTGAAGATATTCGTAAAGTAAGACGCCAACAAAAACGCATAAAACGACATCTAGATAAACTAGCCCAACGTCATTGGAGGGATGATTGCGCAACATTAGATCCTCGTAAGCCTCTTTCAAGAATATACAGTCTTGCTCGTGGTCTAAGGACGACTCCACAACAGCGTCAACCTTTTCGTGCACTAGCCCTCCGACTAGATCTTTCGGAACTAGCTGTGGCTGAAGAGTACTGTAAAAAGCTCACGGAAAACGTCGGAAATTCGACCATTCCACTTGTTAAATCCAACAGTCCCTTCCGAGCGTGTCCTTACATGGACGCACCGTTCGATATACGAGAACTAGACGAGGCCCTTTCTGGACTACGTTTCTCAACCTCTCCCGGTCCCGACGGTATAACTTACGCGGCCTTATTTCACCTG